CAAATTTTTACACAAAATTTAATTTCAGAAAGATCTATCTTTATTGCAGCTTGTAGGGTTACTGCCTTAAAGACAGTCTTCCTTCATGGAAGTCTGTTCTTATCTGGAAAAGCTTACTTTTCAGATGAAGAACTAGATGAGCAGTGCAAGTGTTGAAACCATTTTCTAGATCAGCTGTTACTAAACTCTACAGTCTGCAGGACCATAAGGAATGGGGTACACCTGGTTTGAGAAATCACACTGCCTGTGCAGATTTCCTCCTGGAAGCAATGATAAGAATACATAAGGTCTGGAAAGGACAAAGTCTCAACATTGCCCACTTACCTAAGAATATGTAGAAATATTGTTCCAGACTACGAAAATGACATTTTGCAATATAATTTTAATATGGTTTGAACCCTGCTCTGGCTAAAGTCTGTTCTGCAGCTGTTGGACAGGAAATAACCCACCATGCAAAAGCAAAGGATCAACCATCCCTGTAGACAGAGGAATTTGGTTCATTTGGAAGTTCACTAGGTATTGTCTGGATGGAGATTATTTGTAAAGATCACTATCAAACAGTGTTTGAATGTTGATTATATAGTTCTGTTACTTCAAGCACTTGTTTGTTTGTACAAAGTAACACTCAGTAAAGTGATGCTGAGACTCATTGCTGTCAGCTTTTTCATGTAAGAATTACTATTTTTCTAAAATATCCCTAATAGCTGTGTGACTTACAGCCAAACACTTCTGTATTGTTTCAGATCTTGTGATTCACACTAAAAAGCAACATAAAAACCTCCCACCTGGAGTGTCTGCTCTGAATGACAATTTACTCTAAACTCTGAGGTACTGAGTATAAAACTTACACCAAATTACAATATCATAATCCTCATATGCAGAAGTCAGGAATTCATGAAGGTATGGCCTCATCAGTTCTACCCCAGTTTCAGCACACGATCTGTGGTCTAAAAAGAATATAAGAGATAAGCAATTCATTATTAAAGTATAAGTTATTAAAGTTCAGTCTGACTTTCCTATCTATCCAAAGACCTGAAGAGTTTCATGAGGGAAACACTGAGGCACTATAAGATCATGCATGAATTCATAGCAAACTACCATCCCTGTTTTAAAGGCAGAAAGAAGAAGCAGAGAGGATGTTTGTCTGTTTATCCTTAGAAGTCCTTGAGGGCTTAGCTAATAATTAAATCAGAGTTCTCTGAGTATGAGTATCTTTGAAAAGTCAGGACAAATAGTTCATCTGTGCACTTAGCAAATTTGTAACAGGACATATATGAAACAGACTCCTTAAAACCTAGTCCAGCTATTTTGTAAGCATGTATCAAGCTCATTTCAGAGATGCAAACATTGCCTGTTCCAATTCAAAAACTGTTGCCAAAACCTGCTAGCAGAAGACCTTTAAATAAAAATTTTAAACTCGGTAATGGGTTGAACTTTGATCTTAGATTGGAAACAAATCTCATCAAAAAGGAAAGCTATTATTTACTACTCACAGTTATGCTGCCATGACACACCTACATCCCAGAAAATTAAGTCAGAAGGAAAATTCTGGCTTCCAAAAAAACCAGCTTGACAGAATTTTCAGGTAAAACATGCTTTTGTGAATGTTTAGTAATAATTTGTAAATAAAATTTGAAGCTATTGTCCTACCCCCCCCAAAAATGGAGTCAATCAGGTACAGACCAGGATGACTATCTTACAATATAAAAAACACAAGGTGTCAAGAGAAAGACTATTTAGACAGAATACTAAATTGCCACTTTTTTATATCTTCTTGCAGTAAAATCAACACCATGCAACATTTTAAAAGCCCAATGCTTTTTAAAATGTGAGCAGAAGACCACAAAATCATACAAAGCAGAAGGTATGTTGTATAAGACAGCAAAGCAAAACTCAAGAAATGTGATCTGGCAAATAAACCGAGCTCTTAAACAAAAACATTCCACAAGTTGCATAAAAACTCACCAAAAAGTGTATAATCAACATCTAGAACCAGCAGCTTTTTCCCTTCTCTAGGAGGATTCAGAATTTCCACTTTGTATTCTTTAACTCTACGGGAAATTTTTAGTAGATTTTCTTCCCTAATGTAACAGTGCAAAAAGTTACAGTTAATTAAAATGCACATTCTACATTCAATAAGAAACAAACTGTTTTAATAGCTAAAACTCCTAACCTATTTTCTACTTCCACAACTTCCTCTTCGATATCAAAGTCATTGACCACGTCATCGTTATCGGGAGGTGGCCCAAGGACATCTTCCTAAAGGAATAATAATAATAATAAAGGATAACTAGAATCACAGAAGGAAAATAACAACGGATATCAAGTTTCTGTTACTGCACATTACAGGACAAAAATACTATTTAACCAAAATGATTTCAGTTAAGTAGTGGAAAGAATTACTAAAGTATACTGATGATTGATCAGATCTGAGAAGTCAGTGAATATCATAATAATAGGTTTGTACTTCAAGTCCAGAGCAATACAGGAGTTTCATGAATACACACTGCTCTCAGAAATCTTCAGGAAAGCTAACTTTACACAGAAAAATAAATGCAAACAGAAATCTACTGTACTATATAATTTATCAAATGATGACTGAAATATGCAAAATTTAAAATCGCAATTTAAATTTAATTTAATTTAATTAAATTTAACCTAATAAACAGGTAAAATATTTACCAAACTCTCTTCACGAGTGCCCATCATCATTATTTTTGTATTTGGTTTCAACTTGAGAGCTCCAAGCTTAACATCATCATCTGCAGGTTTGCCTGTAACACAAACAGGTAATATTTGAATTTTTTTACTGGGATAGATTTTAGAAAAATGTCAATACATTTCATGCTTAACTGAAATAAGCTCCCTGTAAAATACCGGATATCCCAAGCTGTATTATCATTCTCTTCCATATACAGTGTCCTGGTTTCAGCTGGGATTGAGTTAATTACCAAGTAAATGTATCAATAATAATCAATATCCGGTGATTTATAAAATGTCTGTATTCATGTTCACTTGAGAGCTAGAACTGGGAGGTAGATGCCCTGTTAGTGGGCATCTTGCCTAGGTTTAGAGGATGTTTGTCCTTAAACATCTCAGGCACCTCCATAACAAACATCAAACAAGAATAGTTACCCTTCATTTTAAGCCCAAGTAGTTTTTGACGCTCTGGTAACACTCCAGTAAGGCCTTTAAGAGACTGTTTCAGGTCCAACACTGTGTCTTCTTCTGACAGCGAGGTTATTGTATACTCCTGTCCACCCCATTTTATTATGAGAGAGAGAGACATCCTTGAAGCATATGTTCAGTATTGTTTTCTGAAAAATCTGCTGCAGGAGGAAAACAAAGATCACGTAAGGAAGAAATAGGAGAACTGCTCTTTTCAGAAGACAAACCATAACATCTATTTAAAGTATTCTTGATTTTTTATTATATTGCACATCAAAGAGCTGTTTGTTTTGCATGAGCGGATGATAAACATGTTGATAAAGTGTTGAAACAAAGGGATAAAGAGCAGTGTTAGAACTGGGGCTCTGAGTTCCACTTTGATGTATTTAGCAATGTCACATTCACCGTTCGCTGTGTGTTCTGTGCAGGTACAGCCTGTGCACTGCACACCCAGCACTCGAGCAGAGCACTGCAGCACCATAAAAGTCATTGCAAAGCTCAGAAACGTCCTCTGCAACACTTATGCAACCAACCCACCCATGGGTACCTTTACACATGCAATAATAAACCAGCAAATATTAAATACCTAAAATACATAAACACACAAAAATAGTTTCCTGAACACAACAGTCCATTTTTGGCACTGGATTTCTCTAATTCCTTTCACTGTGCATTACCTGCAGTAATACACACCCCAGGTCACATCTCACTGTAGCAATATCAATGTAGGAATTTGAAAACAAAGCCAAAACATACACCCGCACAATGCAATTACACTGTAAGAACTGCACTTGCATTGCAGTGCTGACAAAACAACCATAATTATACTATCCTTAGTTTACACAGCATCGTTTATACAAACTGTACTTAACAGTACAGTCCTACATTAAACACAGCAGAAATCCAAGATTTTTAGGTTAATGCAAAATTAAGAACGTGGTTTTGTCTGTTAGGGCTTGGAAACAGAGAATCAAGGAGCTAGAAAGGTATGAAAAGGGTGATACAGAGTGTCAGGAGATGCAGAGAAGGCCTCTGCACCACTGATGGTTAAATTGTCCTCAAAAGACTGCTATTCAAAGAGAGGGCAGACCTGTAAAAAACCTGGGGCTATCCACCTTCAAGAAATGCATTACACCAATAAATGCAGGTCTGACAACTCTAAAAAATCTCAGAATCCAAAAATCTGATTCTTCTTCCTCCCTAGCATTGTATTGTCAGTGGTTACCTGCTCTCAGACAAAATACTTCTTTTTTATGCAGTAAAAGCTACTGGGAACAAACAAGTAATTGCTCACGTATCCCCACCAAGCTCAGACCAGGTGAGAAGTAGGCTACATACAACCTGCTTGCTGAGGACACTACAAGCCTCACCTCCACACTACTGCCCCTGTGAGTCCTGATAACAAACTGAAGAGGAAAAGTGGTATCACAAAAAATGAATGGTTTTTTTTCCTTTTTTCCCTGAATATTCTCAAATCAGATAGGGACCTGATCTTATACTGTGAAAAAGACTCATGAAGAAGGGGTCTTAGAAGCACTAAGAGGTTCGACTGAGATTAAGGCTGCAATGTCAAGCAACGTTGATACATAGGGTTACTGCCATAAATTATTGCTGTCTACAATCCTTGGACTAAGTTTACAGAAAGAAGGGTTTATTTGCCTGTTTCCTTACCTGTACCATACACCTCAAATCATTCTGCAAGGAAATGTACAGGGAAAGAACTGCAAGAAAACTTCTCAAGTCTCTGTCCAGTGCTAAATCGAAACGCTCATCCCTCCAAAGCTGAGCACTTGACCAACCCTTGCTCCTTACACAACCACAGCCCCGTCACGATGAGCAGCATCAGGGACAAGGCACCTTTATCCCACACCAAACACTACGGGACCGAATCACTGAATACAGGAAAGCGGATCAGAAGCAGAGGAAGACATGGGGAGAAGGGCTCTACCATGGGGGCTGGGTGCTGTGAAATACAACTTCCTTGGGTTAATTACACCTCCTGAGCCTTCACAAGGCCCTTGGACCACCAGGAGCCAATGGATTGGAAGGTCACAGAGAAAGCGTTGAAGTCGTGTTGTGAAATTGTAGCATCGCACCGATTTATCTTGGCAGATCGCGAAGAGAGACATCCACATCTTTAAGTCCCACTAAGCAACATAAAGATAAAACCCCCGAAACACACAAAGTGCCCGATGAGCCGTACAAAGTGTGGCCCCGTAACAGGTGGGGAGCGGGGTCTGGGGCCAGCTCGGTGCCAGCCCGGGATCGCCCCCTTCCCCCGGCCGGGCTGTCCCGGCACCGACACGGCCTTGGCGAGGGGAGCTCCCACACGGCGCTGCTGCGGCCCCGGCGCCGCTCCCGCCCCGCGGGGGCAGCGGCACGGCCGCCCCCGCCTCCCTACACCGGCCCAGCCTCCCCCCGGCCCCGCCGCACCCACCGGGCTGCCCGGGGCCGCCGATCCTCCCCCGCCGCACCCACCGGGCTGCCCGGGGCCGCCGATCCGCCCTCGCAGCGCGGAGCGGCCGCTCACCGGCCGCGGCCCCGGCCCCGTCCCGTCCGCCCGCAGGAAGCGGAACTGGCGCCCGGCGGAAGCGGGAGGCCCCGGATGTGCGCGGGGCCGGGCGGGCAGCGCAGCGGGGCTGCTCCGTCAGGGAGCTCCCTGGGAGCGGGGTCGCGCAGGGAGCTGCGCCCGTGGGAGCTCAGCGCCGGGGGAGGCCGCAGAGGCGGCTTGCAGGGGCAGCTGTGCCGCCAGTGTGCCTTTTCTGTCGTTAACCTTTAAAGAAGATTGTTCCGTACCCACGGATACCGACTGGAACACCCCCTGCAGCGCTGCCCCGCTCTGAGGTCCCCAGCGCAGGAAGGACACGGAGCGAGTCCAGAGGAGGCACCAAGATGATGAGAGGGATGGAGCTGCTCTGCCATGAGGAAAGGCTGAGAGAGTTGGGGTTGTTCAGCTTGGAGAGGAGAAGCTTCGGGATGGCCTAATTGTGGCCTTCCAGGGCCTGAAGGGAGCCTAAAGAAAGATGAAGAGAAACTTATTTACAAGGGCCTGGAGTGACAGGACAAGCGGGAGTGGCTTCACACTGAAGGAGGAGGTTTAGATTAGATGTTAAGAAGAAATACTTCCCTGTGAGGGAGGTGAGACACTGGCACATGTTGCCCAGAGAAGCTGTGGCTGCCCCATCCCTGAAAGTGTTCAAGACCAGGTTGAATGGGGCTTGAAGCAACCTGCTCTAGTGGAAAGTGTTCCTTCCCACTGCTGGAGGGTTGGAATTACATGATCTTTAAGGTCTCTTCCAACCCAAACCATTCCATGATTCTGTGACTCAAAACTCCCTTAACTCCTAAGCTGACTCTCTACAGGTATATTGTTGTATCTGTTGAATCAGGGGTCACTTCTTGGCTACTGGTGGGATTCTTGGGAACTGGCTTCAGCTGCAGTGGTTTTGTGGGTGGATAACGGATGTAGAAGAAAAAATGTACTTTGCCCCAAAATGGCCTTTTGCACTCACATATTCTGCTTTACAGAAATAGTTTAAAGGGAAGACAGTTGTTGTGCAGTAGTGTGGTCTCTTATGTGAAATCACATGGAGGTGACACAGACTGTGGTTCCACTTGGTAGAGATGGTGGTAAATATGGGGAAGGAAGTGAAGATTTCAGTCCTCCATTACCTTAGGTCTTGCTGTGTTGAGAGGTTAGATAGTTTTTCTCTTTCTTTTTAATTTGGTGATAAGTAGGGAAGAGAACAAAAGAGCAGAGATAAACAGCTCTGTACTGAGTCCAAGTTTCTTTGGAGTAGCTGCTGGAACTTCTAAGAGCTATTCCTAGTATAAATAAATCTCAGTGGAGAAGGGCAGTATAAGCAAAAAGTGTGTAGAAGCCTGATTTCTTTCCTAAGTGGATATTAATTTAATGTATTTCCTGCCTGGATATGAATTTTGAGTTTGTTCTGTGTTCAGGTTTTCACGTAAAAGCACTGCTTTGGTTTCCAGAAGAGTGGTGCAAATGGGAGATTGCTGTAACGACTGTTCTTGTCAAGTTTAGTTTCTGACTGCATGTAAGTCCACTTAAAACCAGTTGCTGTGTTTGTATCCCAGTCACCAAGGATTTACTTTTTGCTTTAATGACACACAGTTGTCCTCTGCACACAGGCAGCGCGTTGCAGTAGTGCTGGGAAGCTTCCAAAACTGCAACTAGTAATTGAAGTCACACCCTGTCATGAAAATATGCACCCTCTAGGCCTTCTTAAAAATTCAGGCTACAAAAATGACATGTAGTGCGATCGCCTCTCTAGTTATAATTTTTTTAAAATATTTTTTATTGTTTTCTTGTTGGCTTTGAAAAAGCTCTCTTGAAAAAGAGGCAGTAGGGTTTGGGGTTTTGGTTTTTTTTCTGTTTGAGGAGTAATATGAAAAGGTATTTATAGGTATTTATACATATCTAGTTTCTGGCGTGATGCTGGTGTTTTAGTATCCTGGCTTTGAGGACATCCTCGAAAGATGCTCTGATCCTGACGACATTCATATGGTGCAGATAAATAATTCCATTTATTTAGCTGTGAAAACACATGGTGGTGCTCAATCCTAACGTTAATAAGTGCAAAGTGGTGATTTGATTATGACCATATAATTACAATTCAGAACCCAAACAGCATAATCTTTTCTTTGTACTGAGGAATATGTTTCTTGGTGGGTTTGCACTGTGGTAAATTAGTAAAGGCAAGAGGCAGGAAGAGCAGTGTGGAAATTCTAAAGCACATGCACGTTCCCTTTCACCTTGATGTGCACTGCTACGTCCTGGGATGCTCTAGGGTGAAATAAAAGAAGTGACTGCATGTCAGATTGATGCCTCCTGGCTCCCTTCCCGTGCCTCAGGTTCACATCACGCATTTCTGAGCGTTTTGAGCAATGCACTTCTGTGCATAACTACTGAAGCCCCAGAGCTGATCTCCTAAATTGCTGTTCATGCTGCATGTAAGAGAGAAAAAATTCCCACAAGTAACTCAGGGGGAAGCTAGGTAAGAATCCTTGAAAATTTAAAGCGGAAAACTGTGTGGAAAGCTCCAAAGGTTGCTTTGGGAATTAAGAGATTAGATCACGTCTTTGTGATCTAAGGAGTTAGAAAGCAAAAGGTGATGACGTTGCAGGCCTGAGAGATGCTAAATATTTCTCTATTCAGTGACTTTAATGGGGAGAGTCAGTGCAGATGTTAATGTGCTGCAGACTAAGAAGGGACCAACAGACAGATTTCAAGGTCTTAAAAGTTTTGGGTTTTTTTTTTTTTTCCAAATTGCTTTTAGTTCAGAAAACTCACTTGAATATGCACCAGCCTCTCTACCCCACTTATAAATTGAACCCACATTAGGAAAAAATCTAGAACAGAGCCCATATTCTGCACTAAGAGTAGAAGAATCCTTAAAATACCTTGGTAGCAGTGTATTTTACTCTTAATATGTTTTATGCTCTTTGGTTTCCTCTCACACCTCTTTTTACAGTTTCCTACAATACTTTATTGCTTTTTTCTGTCCCCTTTCTCTGTTACATAGTTTGTTCTAAGCAGGTGCTAGAAGCAGTGATGTCTGAGAATGTCATACTCCGGAAGTCAATCCCATCCCAGTGTTCCAGCCTGACTCAGCCGTGTGTGCAAGTCTCCTGCCCTGCTTATCACCACTTGACTGCAGCAGAGCAGCCAGCGGGGTGTGCTGGACACTGCCATCACTGTGCCCCAGAAATGCAGCATTTGAATGCTCCCTGTGATTCTGAGTCACTGTGACTCCAGGCACAACACTGAGTGCTGCATTCCCAGTGTTCAGTAATGCTTTAGGAGCTGGCAGCTCAGCTAGAGACATGGAAATGTCTCAGGTTTGAAATTAAACACTTTTCCAGGTTATCACTAATACAGTAAGTCTCTGTCTCCGCTTCTTTATCAATAAAGGGGAGGTTAGAGTAATATTTATGTAGTTTCCTTACAGGAGTTTTTTCAGGATTATTTAGTTAATGTTGGCACTGTGAGATGCTATAAATACTAGAGGCTTGTACCCGTGTACCATATGATTTTCCACTTTCTGAATGCAACTGTTATTCTTCTGCCACTATTCAGCCCAATGATTTTTATTTTATTTACTTCGATTCTTTGTATTCTAGATTATGCCCCACTGGCAAGGGATCTTGGGAAAGAACTGTGATGCTTTTGTTCGCTGAACAAAACCTGATTCATCCCTTTCCTTACATCACCACCCAGCTCTCCAGCTTTTCAACACAGAGATTGCTATGGCTTTCCTTTAGGTACACTGAAAATCACAGCAGCTGTTTATTTGGAGTCAGCACTCTCCAGCATTATGAAAGTGGTAAAAATATATGTAATCATAGGAGAGATTTAATTATCAAAGACACTGCAGAAGTGGTTTCTTGAAGAGAGTGAAAACAAATAGGAAATTGAGAAACTGTGACTGGCTGAATTCTAGAAAGAGCTCTGAAAAGCAGTGAGAGGAAAAATAAGGGTTGATGAGAAGCTAAGTGATGGGCAGAAATTTAGGAAATAGGGTCACAGATAATGAAAAGCAGGAATTTTTGAGATGGGGGTACAGAGTGAGAGTAGGTAAATCAGAGGGAGATGCACTGGCTCTGTTGCTATTGTGGCACCCAGTAATGCTCCCAATTTCTGTGCCTGGGTATGTGTTTCTGCCTGAATTAAAGTTTAATTAAAATTGATTCATTCCTTTGTTTAGTGAATGGGATAAAATTGCAAGAAGAGAACGGAAAGGCTTTGGGGGCTGGCTGCCATCAGTATTACACACGAGGCACCAAATTAGGTTTCACAGGCAATCTTAATTTTTGCATTATTTAACTTTTGTCTGACTTTATGCAATATAACCTACTTGTTAAGACATTCCTTTGCTATTACATATGTATGTATGAGTATTTTCTGAAACAATGGCTTGTAAAAAGCTTCAAATAAAACTGTCCATGTTATTGTCCACCTTATGCATGCAATGTCAGCATATTTTGCTGCTCTTTGAGAATTCTTATGAGGGATTTTCTTTGTAAGCAGTTTGGGGTGCTGGCATTTGTCCATCTGCATGGACAAATCAAGCTTCCACATTATCTGAACTCTGAGAAGGTCTTTTCAAAGTTTTAATGAGATGTCACCATAGTGGTGCCCTTCTGTCTTCAGTTGCTGATCACTGAAATTCTGGAATCCAAAGGCCTCTGTTAATAATGAGAGATGAACAGTCATTGAGTTCAGAATTCTCAGCCACCCAGTGTAAAATGCAGGAAAGGCTTTTAAAATTCCAGAGAAATGAAGCAGAAAGTTGAGGTGCTTTAAAAAAGCCATGTCTGACAAAACAGTGGTAATGGCACATACCTGATCTGCTCATTACAAAGCCTTTGCTTTTGTGAAGTAACACATTTACAGAATTATATGCTGAGAGATGACAGAATGAAAGAAAGGTGGGGTTCAGTTCCTATTGTTTGCTTGCAAATTGAAGCGAGAACTTTGGGGATTTGCTACAATACTTTCATGATATAATTACTTCTAAAATAATAACAGATACTTCCAGTTCAACTCCTAAAATACCTCTTACTGTCTATAGTTGTGAATATATATTTATCTCTCTCTGCTGCTTGCTGTCTTTTTGTCTCCCGTGCAGCTTTGCAGAGAGGTAGGACTTAGAGATCCTGCACCATCCCCATAACCTCAGTCAGCGTTGAACTGAGACCACAAAGAACAGAAAAGAAGTGACTCATGAATTTTTTCCATGTATGGCATGAGTAGAC